CGGCGGGAAGACAGAAATCAATCAGAGTACCGAAATTCGACGCTTGTGCTCGTTCTATAGCGCTTCTAAACACCGCGCAATCACGGCTGTGTATCGTCAACATTGCATAAACTGCCGTTACTTGTACTCGTATTGCATCGTGAGGGAACGACTATGACTGGGTAAACAGAAGTAGGGAGAATGAATGCGTGTGATTTGTTGAAGTTCGAATCAACAAATCGAGCTTCAACGAATGCGATAGTATTGCATTCACTCAACCAGCTATATGAGTTTTCAGATCCTTCCAAGTATGCGATTCGTGTTCTGCCAGTGGTACCTCAGTTAGATTAAAAAGCAAAAGCCACGTTAAAAAAAAAAAAAAAAATTACGGTGACTCGAGTTGCTCCTGCGCCGAATCATGTTTCACGTAAGCGTAATTTTGGGTTCGATGCACGGCGAGGGGTCTTCAATTATAAAAAAAATATTTTGATTACGATTATTTGCGGCGCTAAAAATTTGAAAGCCAAGCAGTGAAGACGATGGTGTTCTTATAAATATTATATACATTTTATTTTACACTGTTTGAATACGCTGCCGTCGTTATGTCCTTGAATTATTGGCTAGCTTGTGGCGGACAGGGAAGTCTTGCAGGACCATATGATAGGACCTACACTAAACCTGCCGCGCTTCGAAAAATGTTAGTCCAATGCATACCAGCTTGTTCAAGGCGGGCGAAGCGTTACGCATCCGGCAAAGCGCATTAAATCGCTGCCCGCGACGTTTTTTTTTTTTTTTATTTATTTATTTATTTATTTTTTTGTGCAGCGAGATAATCTTTAGTCAAGCAGCACGCCCCCTCTACGGCGGGTTATGCCGGATTAACGGAGGCGTCTCCTAATCCATTCTCCGTGTTGGCCCCTCGGGGGAGGGCGGTGAAGGGAGGAAAGGAGGGCAGGAGAGGAGGAAACGCAAAAAAAGTGGAAAGAGCGAACTTTATTTTCGGCTTCAACCTCGAAACCCGCCCGCTCCGTGGGAGTACCGGAAAGAGAAATCTTGGCGGAAGGAGAGGAAGCGAAGGAAGTGTACGCGATCCCCCTGTCCTGCGGGACCAGGTACATCGGGCAAACGGGGCGATGCCTCAACGACCGACTCCGAGAACATCAAATGGACGCCGAAAGAGCTGCTTCGGAGTCCAAGCACCCGATCGTCATTCACGGGAGAAAATGTCCCGGTTGCGCTCCTAATTTATGTAATAACAAAAACGGCTTGACATAACAAAAATAACAATTTAATTAAACGTTTCGCCTCCAATGCGGGAGGCATCTTCAGTAGAGCACAGAGCGAGTGAGAGTCGCACAAGAAAGTTCGGTTATTTAGGCATAAAGTTTGTGTAGACGTCCGGCAGGGGGCCACGGTTCTTGTTTACCAGCGATGAATCACTTCCGCGTTTGTCGTTCTGGATGAACCAAGATTCCAGCAGCTTCCTCGGTTCCCACCTTTTATCCCCCTCCAAGGTCGATGCCTTGTCAATGTCAAATTGGTGTCCTGACGTCCATGCGGGTCGACGAGTTCGGACTTGAAGCCGAACGCTGACAGGCTAGGCAAGGCGACAAGGTCACCGGCAGAAGCGGCCTTTCCTTTTATGCGTTGTTGATGCCCCTTCGACCTCGCCTTTTGCAAATCCTCCCCACCTGGTTTTGCGTCTTCGTGTGGCTGTCAGCGAGCTCGACAGCCGCTTTAAGCAAATCAAAAGGATGAAGCGAAACGCGTGACTCAGCGTGACCTCTCTACATAGGACGCGTAGGACAAAAACGTTTGGACGAAAATTTGTCACGTGACTTTCTCTGTCACGCTGATGGGATCTCTGGGGCTGTCGTTTTCGCCGTTTGCCTAGTTATAGAAATAAGCAGGCCACGTAGGTCCGGTTTTCGAACTGGGCTCTTCAGTGTTCTGTTGCTTTCGTGCGTTGCAGACGCGGCCGTGTTTTTTCGTCGTAAACGGTCGGAATACGTCCATGCCAATTTTTCGGTAACAGTCATTTTTTGCACCGGAGTTCGTGGAATACTTGTGATGTGTTTGTTGGACACGCTTCGACAAAAACTGCTCTTCGCCGACGACGAGACGTCAGTTGAATGTGCGCAACCTTCTTCCTCGAATGTGTTTGTGGGGTGCCTGAGTTGGATTATGCATCTATCAAGGATTACATGATATCGCTCTTTTATTAGTAAGTGCACTGCAAGCATGATTCTGATAGTCGTCATGCTTTCCTTTCATTCTCGGCGGTTTTACGTGTGATGAGTTTTGCTTGGCATGAGGACAGTGTTAATTGTGTTTTATAATTTGCTTTTCGTTTTACAGAGAAGTGTGACCTTGTAAATATGTTGAGAATACACTGTGTGTAATGATAGTTGTTTAATAAACTTCTGGGAGCGATCGAAAAAATTTGTTTGTCCGTATAAGTGATTGGATATGCAACAAATGACATGCAACGTACACATACTTGCACGACGTTCCGCCAATACGAAGCAGACGCATCGTAGAGTTTTCGCACAATATTACGTGAACGCTAGGCCGGGGCGAAACAGCTGTACGGCAATACCTGCCGGGTATCAAACGGTGGTGCAAAACTGGACAGTTGAGCGATATTGGAACCGACTTTCGGCCGGCACTGGCACGATACTGCAAAGTATTGCCGTGCTGCTTGGGAACGGACGTGATGACATCTTACTATCGTGCTTCCAACGCTTATTTATTTTATTTCTCTTCTGGGACGCGTAAAAGAGCACTTCTGTGACACACCAGAGATATTCGAAACTTGGGCTGGCCTCTCGACTTTCTTTGCCACTTTTAGCACTTACTTGGCACTTCAGTGGGTAGCCAGGAAAGAGCCAAACTTCGGCATGCCCCGAATCGACAAATTAAGATTTACTGCGGCAGTTATGGCTCAAGTCTGGCACTTACTTTGGCACAACTGTGGCGGAACAGAGAAAAGCCAAACTCGGCGAGGCTGAAATACCGAAATTAGGCGTTGCTTTGGTAGTTATGGCTCAAGTATGGCACACTTCGGCACTCCTGTGGCATATCAGAGAAACGCCAAATTTTGGCGTGTCCGAAATACCCAAATTAGGCGTTGCTCTGGCAGTTATGGCTGAATTATTGCATCAACTTTGGCGCTCCTCTGGCGGACCAGAGAAACGCCAAACCTTAGCACGTCCCAAATACCGAAATGAGGCGTTGCTTTGGCAGCTATGGCTGAAGTATGGCACCAACTTTGGCGCTCCTCTGGCGGACCAGAGAAACGCCAAACCTTGGCACGTCCCAAATACCGAAATTAGGCGTTGCTCTGGCAGTTATGGCTGAAGTATGGCACCAACTTTGGCGCTCCTCTGGCGGACCAGAGAAACGCCAAACCTTGGCATGCCCCGAATTCCCAGTTTAGGTTTTACTATGGCAGTTATGGCTCAAATCTGGCACCAACTTTAGCGCTCCTCTGGCGGACCAGAGCAACGCCACACTTTGGCATGTCCAAAATACCCAAATTGGGCATCGCTCTGGCAGTTATAGCTCTAGTATTGCACTACTTCGGCAATCCTGTGGCGGACCCGAGAAAAGCCAAACTTTGGCACGTCCCAAATACCGAAATTAGGCGTTGCTCTGGCAGTTATGGCTGAAGTATGGCACCAACTTTGGCGCTCCTCTGGCGGACCAGAGAAACGCCAAACCTTGGCACGTCCCAAATACCGAAATTAGGCGTTGCTCTGGCAGTTATGGCTGAAGTATGGCACCAACTTTGGCGCTCCTCTGGCAGACCAGAGAAATGCCAAACCTCGGCACGCCCCGAATTCCCAGATTAGGATTTACTATGGCAGTTATGGCTCAAGTTCGGCTCCAACTTTGGCACTCCTCTGGCGTACCTGAGAAGAGCCAAACTTTGGCATGCCATAGGATCGCCCAACTAAGGCTATAGTTAGGCACCGTACTTTGGCACTGATGAATGCCATGGTGCAAAAACCTAACTGCGCCAAAGTTGGGCCCTTATGTTTGCCAGACCTTTGCCCAAGTTGGGCATTCCTCTGGCGTGCTACCTGGGTATGTAAATGTGTCTCTTCGCCTGCGACCGGAAGAAGAAGAAAAAAAGGGTGTCGTCGATGTTTTGTCCCCTTTTAAAACGTGCGCCTATCTTTCTTATCAAGCTTCACTCCAGCATACTAAGGGTAGTCCGCACTTAAAAGTGAGGGTTGCTACCATCTTCTGAACAAAATCCATTCCAATTCCCACTATTTACAGTAGGGATTGACGTACGCCAATGAAACCCTGTCTTTCCAACATTTTGCTGACTCGCGAGAGCAATGCAAGTTATTTTTGTGTGTTTAGCTATCACGGTATTTTTGAAAAATAGTATGCGCACCCAAAACCCAAAAGGCGATTATTGAGCGCTAGCGCAATGGCGATGACGCTCTTTGCTTGGGTAGGAAAAGCGTTCGGGTGCAACAGCCTTTTTTTTTTTTTTTTTGCTATTCTGTCTCTAAACAAACAAAATCAGAAGCTTGTAACCGATTAAGGAATACCCTTTTCAACTAATATTTCACTTGATATGAAGCAACTTACTGGTTAATCAAAGTTGTATTTTGTGATCATGAACCAATACTGAAATTCAGCTGACGTCAGTATTGCTGCCGTTTTTACTTCCACGCTGACACAATTAACGCAACTACAAATTTTGCCAGGAATGTTAAATAAACAATTCCCACCAAGGCATTATTACGAATAAATATGAAAATGTTTATTTTAGCCGCTGAATAAAGTAAAAATAATGAATGAAAAGTAAAAAGCATATAACTTTAATTACGCCGATATCATGAATACGCCCCTTGACATAGGCAAATTTTAAAAGCGAAAGGCGTTATCTTTGTTTGATAAACGCTGACGTTTGTAAAAACTACAACTTTCCTTTTTCACTCTACGGACGAATATCATCTCATTATTACATTCATAATTTATAATACCTGGCTTTTTTGCAGTAAGGCACGGACAACGCTAGAGTCCACTGAAGGATATACAGCCAAAAATCAGATAAACATTCATCCCGAAGGCCGTGAGTATATTTTTGCCGATTATGAACCTCTAGGTTGCTCTTGAATAAAACCAAGTAGATTATAGTTATTCTAATGTGCCCGCAAGGTTCAGATAGTGCTAGTGTCTACGCGACTTAAAGTTGAAAACTTGAAGCACATAACAAATATGGTGTTCCTGTGTATTCCTATACTATAGACGATTGCAAGCAAGGTCATTGGCCGCCTCCATGTGTCTCCGCGTGCGGACAAGCCGGCGAAATTTCAAGCTTGCCAAAGCTATGCTTAGGAGCAAGCTTCGCGTGCTTGCACTCATGGGGCACCAGGCGGTGCGCCGTGCTTGCAATTGTGTATACTCGGTTTCACTTTAAATAGAAACTTAAAAGTCCTTGAAAAAAAAAAAAAAAAAGAGCTAGAGGTGAGTTCTAGAGTATTTTTATCCCGAGAATCCGGATATCATGCTCGTTTTCCGCGAAGATACAAACTAATCGCGAGAAAGCACGAGAAACCTCCGTCGCTACGTCATACCCAAATCTTTCGGCCGCCAAGCGCGTGTCACTCGTGTGGGCGGCGCGTAAAATTGCAAGCTTGCCAGGCATATTCCCCGCACTCGCACCAGTCGTCGCATCTTCTTCGGTCCTTTTAAGAATATAGCAAAAGTGTTCGTGCATACATTTTATAGGCGCTGAATATGCGCGAGAGCGGAGATTGCAAAAGCTCGGAATAGGACGTCCCGCTCTTAAAAAGGAGCGTGACTTCAGCGCTTCTTTGAAAATGAATTCCTGCAACCTCCGTGCACAAAACTGAAAAAAAAAATCAATATTCGTGATCTTGGAGGCCACATAAAGACGATTTAAGTGTTTCTACTCAAATTCATAAGCGCTTCGGCTTCCCTCTCAACTCCAACGACAGCCGACGCTTAGATCCGATGAAGCCAAGGTAGAAGCGCCAAAAGGACATCGTTGTGCTATTTGTGCCCCTGTGATTGGTTAATCTCATTATAGCAACCCTACGAAAACAGTAAAAGCCGTGATTATACACTTTTGGCACATCTTGATCAGCTCCCTTGAACCGTAAGGTCGGCTGCCTTCGGACTTTTAAAGTTAAACATTGAATTCGGTGAACACAGCGCCAAACTGCTACGTCCACTAAGCGATCGTCGTTTTTTTTTTTCTGAAATTTTCTTCTTTTTGGAATGGGAACGTTGTCGTCGAGAGTTTTACAGGGTGGAATATTTTCGTTGGGCGCACTCACCTAAGCGGTAGAGTCTGGTCTCAACCAACGCATAAAATTTAAAAAAAAGTCGTTTTTTTGCATTAAGAGTGTAGCGCAATGTACCCGTACGAAGAGCAGGTCAACCAAAAGGCGTCCGCTTGTACATGTTACTCAAGGCGCACAAAAATGAAAAGTGTTTTGTCACCTTTCAGTCGAAGTACCACACTTTTGGGTGACACTCTTTTGAATGGGGTCTCGGCCATTAGTCCTTCGTTGGTATTAGCGCGTCTGTTAGTATTTAATGTGCAGAAACTACGTAACATTTGAAGTAAATGCGAGACAGTCATTGCGGCTGCATGAGTACTGCATACACCGCGCAAGGAGCATCCGAAATTGCTTGCTTTGATAGGAGGATAGGAAGTTGTACAGTCAAAGACACAGTGCCTGCCAACTATTTAACCTACAATAGCATTACCGGGAATCGGTCTTAATCTGGTTCCTGTCTGCTTTTCATTTGCCACACCATACTAGAGTTAGCTGAACATCTAGCATACATTAAAATAAGTGATTTTCTTCGCGCGTGCCTGAATAATGCTTGTATTTACTAGAAAATCCACCATACTTGGTGCATTTTGTTTCAGGGTGAGTGTGTTGCTTTCGGCCCGCCTAATATGTATGCTGCTTTTTGTTTAATCTATACAGATAGTGCGATTAGAAAAAAAGCCGTAAAATCTACATGTATGCGGTTTGTGTATGCGAACTATCCGGCCAAGGGGACATAGTATATGGGACAAATCATAACGATCGGTCGGGTAATTAAGTATTTTAATTAACATTTTGATTAGTAATAATAGACATATGGTTCCAGTTAGAAACTTGCTGAGCGTCATCCAAAACCAATAAATCAATGCATTTTAGATATAGTTTGAGCGCACGGGGAGCTCAGTAGTGAACTACGTCTACCACTCGTGAGGCAGCTACAAAGTTGGGCTATGATAAGAGACGAATAAGCCTTGTGCCTGCTCCACGAGCGGTAACTTTAGTGTGCTACTGTGCTTCTCATGCGCTCAAAGTTTTTTTCTGAAAACTGATTTTCTGTTTTTCGATGACGCTCAGCGAATTTCTAATTGAAACCTTATGTCCATTTTTACTCATCAAAAAGTTTATTCACATTTCTTGTTAATTAGCCGACCGATCGTTAGGATTAGCCCCTATACTATGTACCTTTGGCAGTATAACTCATACGCACAAACCGCATAAGTGTAGCTTTCACGGCTTTCTTAAAAGAAATACGTTGATCTAAAAACAAAATTGTATGTGGTGAATATCAAATAAGCTCTTCTCAACCCGTATTTTTCAGGAAATATCACGCTTTCTTATTACATCTCTTTCCTGGATGTGAAAAAATGCGCTGTCAGCAGGAACATCTACGTCAATGGTACGAACTTTTTGACGTATGGGTGTGCATTCAGTATCTGCGCTGCATGGAATATTGGAAGCAATCTTTCTATACAGAAATATAGTTTTAATCCGACATATTACCTTAAATTATATCTTGAAAAGTTCACTATTTCTGTCTCTGCACGTGAGTTATACGGCCAGGGGCTCATTCATTTTATGGGGGAGGGGGTTGCTAAGTGTCACATTAAATGTGATAATTAATAATTTTTGTTAATTCACAATTTTAATTTGCGAAATTGACCTCATGGGTTTAATTAGAACCTTGGTGAGCATCATCGCAAATCACTAAATCATCAAATTTAAGAAAGATGCGCGGAGGTGCGTTAAGCTTACAACTCATACAACGTACGCAAGGCTGGCGGTGCAGAAACGCGGATGATAGTATATTATGCGTGTAGTTTGCACCACCAGACTTTTACAGGTTGCACGATAGGTAATTACTTAGGTACACATCCGCGCATTTTCTCTGCAGCGACCCATTAGTAAATTTGGTTTACTGGTATTGGTGAGTCCCAGGAAATTTCTGATTGGAACCATGGGTTTAGTTTTAATAATTACGCCATTTAACAAATGTTAGTTAATTATTCAATTTGTAATGATCAGCACTTATATTGTATACCATAGGCCGTATGACTCACCTAGACAAACCGATTTGAGTACGTTTCACTACTTTTTTTTTATAAATCTGTTCGAAGTAAAATTAAACACTTTGTATATAAGCCCTTATGTGAGACGAGTTAGTGTCCAGGCCAGCTCAGTGAATTTGTCATGTTGAACGTCCAGGGCAACTCAACGACAGAAAAAAGGTACACTATATCACATAAACGGGAGTTGCATTTTAGAGCGCAGCACTTAGGGGCCCGTTCCCGGCTTGAGCGGCGTCGGCGTCGCCGTCGCCGTCGGCGTAACCAAGGTCATCCCAAGGTCACTTGACCCCCAAGGTCACCCCAAGGTCACGTGACCCCTCCCCCAGGGTCACGTAAGCCCTGGGGTCACGTGACCCCCGCTGACGTCATCAGTGACGTCACTGATGACGTCACCGGTATCCGCATCGTCATCGTCATCATCACTGATGACGTCATCAGTGACGTCACTGATGACGTCACCGGCATCCGCATCATCATCGACATCATCACTGATGACGTCATCAGTGACGTCACTGATGACGTCACCGGCATCCGCATCGTCATCGACATCATCACTGATGACGTCATCAGTGACGTCACTGATGACGTCACCGGCATCCGCATCGTCATCGTCATCATCACTGATGACGTCACCGGCATCCGCATCGTCATTGTCATCATCACTGATGAGGTCATCAGTGATGTCACTGATGACGTCATCGGTATCCGCATCGTCATCGTTACTGATGACGTCATCGGCATCCGCATCGTCATCGTTACTGATGACATCATCAGCATCGTCATCGTCACGTGACCCCTCTAGGTCACGTGACCCCCACCCAAGGTCACTTGACCCCCCCCCCCCAGTACCCTTCCCTCCTCCTCCTCAAGAGCTGCGCTCTAATTCGGCGTTACAGGGAGTTGTAAACGGCTTTCACTTTTTTTAATGAATATTTTATATGCATTTTAAAATCCGTGCGGAAAACAAGTGGCGCCGCGGCATTGTTCCCAAGGGACCACGCCGCGGCGCCCCTTGAAAGAGCCGATGTTCAGCAAGAGTATTGCGTAGGCAGAGAGCGAAACTTTGAAATATCTATTACACGAACTGCTGCGTTGGCAGGTGACCAAATCATTACAAAAATAGCCCTTCAGCTAAGTCTTCCTCGTTTTTAGTCGCTGCATGCCTGTAATAAAAAAAGGGGGCCACACAAAATTATTTCGTTTTTGCAACCGCGGCCGGAGGCCGAACGGGCCGTAGTAATCTCTTTAAACAGATGTCAGCTAAGATTAGCACACCGCAACACACCACGCATGGTGGTACAGTCCGCGCGTACCATTCTATACTATAGACCAGTGGTTCTGAAATAGGGGTCCGCGGACCCTCTGGGATCCGCGAAGGCATTCTAGGGGTCCGCGAAGCATCGCCTCATCAGTCAAGCTCGGCAGTAAAAGTCGTACTCTTTTCAGATTGAGAAGAAATATTCCAATTTTCGAGTTAGTTTTCTGGTGTGTATGTCAATGAAAGAAGTCTACTTCAAACTAGCCCCTAGTTATATTTATTTATTAAATATTTATCGACATTTACGTGTACATTTTCCCTCCTCTCATCATGGACGGCGTCCCCCATCTTCTCCGCCGATCCACAAGGGGTCCGCGAAACATCAATGGTTGAGAAACACTGCTATAGACGGCCATGGAAAGCACACAATCACTTCATGCACTTTTGAAAGCCAGGGAAACAGCAGCGACCATCGCTTTGCAGTTATGCCCACTCACTCCACTATGGAGCGAAACGTTATTTAAGAAAAGGGGGGCAAAAACTACTCCTCATATCAATTTCATTCGCGACTGTGACTGGTGAGTGTTGTCCATTAGTAATTCACAAATTTCTGGTTAAAAATAAATTACTACAATTGAATGACTAAGTTTTGCAATTTTGGAACAAATTCGAATTCTAATTTACCAATTCTACTCAAACGAATACTTTTTTTTTTATAATTTTGTAACACTGCCACCTGATTATGTAAAACCATTGAGATACAGAAATTCACTAAGCACCTAACTCCCTGCCCATCTGCGGACTCGTGGGTCTTAGAAAGCGTCAACCACAACCGTTTGCGCAGAACTGACCAACAGTCGGAGCCACAGCACGCACAGGGGAACATAAAAGGTGTTACATAAAAGTACAATGTCCACCATTTTTAGGATTGAGAGAAATGACAAACATTATAATTTCGATGTGCACATTGAATATTTTGCAGTGACGCATGTCTGACACCAAGCTGAACTTCTATTTCACAATTACAGCGATGACAAACACTGTTGCATCTACACTGTTGCACTGTTGCACAAACACTGTTGCACGTTTCATTCACGCTGTCGGTGAACCACATTTGCGAGGTTGTTGCGAACGTAATTGGATTAAAATTCCTTTTAGTTTCACGCACATCTGAAAATGGAACTGTGCGGCTCTGAAACGCAACCGTGAAAGCAGCATAACATCTACCCAACCACAAGCAAAAGAATTAAAATAAGTTTATTATTTTTGCAGTAATTATAAAATAACTGTCAAGTATCATACTGAGAACTTGTCTTCCTATTACACCGATTTAAAATAGGTGAATCGAAATCCCCAATATGTGGTGAAGGTAAGGTCCTGTACATCGAACAATACACGGTTTACACACAAGCCAGGGTGTTTGGCCACAGTGGGTGTGGGCAATGCTCGTGCGCAAAAACCAGATTCGCGTGAGGCAAAGCACCTGCGCATGCGCAGTGCCGAACAGCGCCAGCATCTGCGCATGCGCATTGTCGACAGCAGCGCGACCGTAGTGGCGTGACGTTACAGAGTTGAGTTGACCAATTTGTAGCACATCGTATACAAATCTCTCGGCGCCGTTGCAAAAACTTAACAACTTCACTTCGGTGCGGAAAAGTACTATTTTATTATATCATTTAATAGGATAACATGAAAAGGAAAGTAATTGCAATATAGTTGCATCATTTTGTCAAATTAGGGAACTTTTAAAGTGCCTCTTGTTAGCTAGTGATTCTAATTTTACGTGATTAACTGCTTTTGTAAAAAAAATTAGTTTCAAATGTAATCATTCTGCAGTGTATTTGTGACCCAGTTTACCACAGTATAGCAGTTTCCTTTTCATCGTACACACAGTCACATCATGGAAGGAGATTAAAGCTGACTTGGACGTAGTTCAACTACTCTACTCAAACTACTGTAGTTTAACTACTTTTCCGAGTAACTTGGTAACTTTCAATTACAACTTTATTTAAGTAATTAGTAGTTTAATTTAACTACATTTTTCAGGTAACTTCTACTCAAACTACTGTTGTCAACAACAGGAGCCGTCGGCACATGTGCGCGAGAACCGCGGAACGCATGCCGCAACCGATCCACGCGATGTGGTATCATCGGCGTGTGACGTCACTTAGATAGGCTGTGTGTGGACAACGAAAAAGAGGAGGTAGACTCGAGATGAACGAGATTCGGAAGGTAGGTACCCGTCTCGGTGACGAGCGGGTATCGTCGAAATAAACCGCTTGTTTTTTTAAGAAAATGAAGAACGAAACGTCTGTGTGACTTTGCCTCGGTGAAAGCGAATTATTGGAGAGAGCACGGCTTGACGAGAGACGTTTGGCGCCGTTTTTATTCGTTCACCGTGACCACGATCTCGCCTATTGCCTCGGTGAAAGCGAATTATTGGAGTAAGCACGGCCTGACGAGAGACGTTTGGCGCCGTTTTATTCGTTCACCGTGACCACGATCTCGCCTATTGCCTCGGTGAAAGCGAATTATTGGAGAGAGCACGGCCTGACGAGAGACGTTCGGCGCGGTTTTATTCGTTCACCGTGACCACGATCTCGCCTATTGCCTCGGTGAAAGCGAATTATTGGAGAGCACGGCCTGACGAGAGACGTTTGGCGCCGTTTTATTCGTTCACCGTGACCACGATCTCGCCTATTGCCTCGGTGAAAGCGAAATATTGGAGTAAGCACGGCCTGACGAGAGACGTTCGGCGCGGTTTTATTCGTTCACCGTGACCACGATCTCGCCTATTGCCTCGGTGAAAGCGAATTATTGGAGAGAGCACGGCCTGACGAGAGACGTTCGGCGCGGTTTTATTCGTTCACCGTGACCACGATCTCGCCTATTGCCTCGGTGAAAGCGAATTATTGGAGAGAGCACGGCCTGACGAGAGACGTTTGGCGCCGTTTTAT